GAGTTTTGTTTTAAGTAGATTGAGGATTTTGGATTATTATACAAATTGTGTAGTGGAAACCTTTTTGAGTTTATTTTTAGTTGATTGAAAAGGGGGTTTTGGGCTAGTTTGAAGTTGGAGCAGATTTTAGTTAGCTTTTGTTGTCACACTTTGGGATTTATTTTCGGGGTTTCATGACTATGGCATGACATTTGGATTTGAATTTGTTTATTTTTTTATCATGTGGATTTTGGAGTTTTGTATTTTTTGCGATGTTTGAACATGTGATCCTTTCAAATTGTTAGGTAAGACCAATAATGTATGGTTGTGGAGTTTCAGTCCATGTCTTTGGAAGTCAAGTGAACTCTCAAGCATTCTGTAGGAGCAAAGGACCATCGAATATTACAATTTCTTTTGGAAAGTGCAAAGGTTTGGTCCAGGTGTCATCTGCAGCTAACCGGAAGATGAATTATTTAGTTGGGTCCCAAAATATTGCAGCACTCTCCATCATGGTACTTGAGACTTAATTTATCATTCTCTGCTATCCTACATTTGTATAATGGTGTTAGAGATTTATCAGCTTTTAATTTTGGGAGATTTGGCAAGAGGTACATATTCGGGGATTTTCTTGGCTTTTGGTTCAACCTTAACACTTTTAAGGTCAAAAGTCCATAAAATAAACTCTTAACAAAAATATCCTTAAAGAAGCAGTTTATTAAAAAATCTCAACTATTATCTTATTCTTATATTTATTATCACTTCCATCAACACCACGACCATGACCACTGCCCACCATTACTACCGCAATCCACCACCACCACCCACCATTACCGTCCACTAACCCATAACCATCGCCATCATCGTTGCTGCACACCACCACCATCTAAAACCTACTCCAACCACCACCACCTCCACAACTGGCGCCTCCATCCACCACCACGATCATTGCCCCTACAAACAGTGAACTAAAGAGTGAAATCTTGTTTGGGGGTGTGAAAGATAGAGGGTGATGGTGAACTTGGCATAGGCAGGTGACGTGAAAGACTAAAGGCACACTCAAGATGGTGAAAGATAGAGGTAGAGAGTGTCTTTAGTTCACTATTTTTGCAGCTCACTGTCTTTTGAACTAGGAGATTTGTGTGCGTCTATGTTTTTCACTTTCTGAATCAATTGTTTAATTTGTGGAGTTCTGGATGACCTTACTGGTTTGATTTTGTAACATTGAAGGTCCCATTTGAATTTTGTGCAATTTATAGAGTAGAGGTAATATTGTAATATAAAAAGAGAAAGACTAGTTTGAACTACAAAACAACAAAGATGGGCTGAGTTGGACTTAATGATTAAAAAAGTCCTTGCCTGAACTTATTAACAAAAAAGTTTGGTGTCATTGCGCAGGACTATTTTATACCACCACCACCCACAACCACTGTCACCACCCACTACCCATCACCTACACCCTCCACCACCATCCAAAACCCATCGCAACCACCCACAACCAAGACCACCACCATATCAGCTGCCACCACCATTACCACTACTCGCCACCGCCAACTCCATTGCCGCCCAGCATCACCATTACCATTTTTTTTTTCTATAATATATCTTTTGGATATATATTAAAAATTGAGACATAGAGAAGTTTTTTTTGAGTTTTATAATTCATCCCAAATGCCACCTCAAAATCTTCTTTCATTTTTAAATTCTTTTTTTGTCCTCTCTCTTTCGTCATCCCACACGCACACTCAAAAACAGTGAAATTAAAGATAATGAACACAAATAAACTGTGCTTAAGTAACAAATTTGATTAGATTTTAATAACTTAGGTAAGACATTTTATTTGAATTGAGAAACATATATCAAAAACAGTGAACTCAAAAAATTGAAAAAATATTTAAGAATTTTAATTCACACATCAAGAAGAAACTTCTTGTTCACTATCCAAAATTAACCATTAGATCAACAATAGTTATTTTTCACTGCGGTTTGAAATTTGTGAGAAATTTAGTCTCCTAAATGTCCATTATCTCTACGATTTTTCAACAACTCGAAACTAAAAAATAGAAGATTCAATCAATGAACTGAAAAAAAAATCGCCTAAAAATTGTGAAAAAGAAAAACAGATATGAAGTCTAGATCACCATTAGATGGAACGTCAAACTGACATGCATTGCATAAGATCTATACAAAAACTGTGTAGTCAGCAAAATCCAAATAACTGTCGTAGAGTAGCAGAAACGAGGTATTACAATATCACAAAGCAATTAACCTACATAAATCTTAGGAAACTAGAAACAAAGACAAATCCATACTCTATATGCATAGCAAGCTATATATACGATCATTGCACGGTCACAACCTCAAGAACAAACCAGTAGAAACAACCGCATTGAATGGTGAGATCTTCTGATCTTGAGTGTAGATCTGAAGAGGAAAACAACAACATCAACAGTGCACATGGTTAAAAGTATCAGTCAATATTAACACGAGTCGGCCAAGTCGTATTCAACTCAGCACCTTCTGAGGCGAAATCGTTATACGATACATATAAGCCCGGAGTTTCGCACGACTTGACTGAGTTGGTCGAGTTGTATTCGAGTCAATCTCGAGTTGCCGAGTTATCATCACCGAATCGGCTGATACGATTCCGTGACGCAGCGGTATAACTTGAATCTCTTTTCATGTTCAATATTTTTTTTAGGTCGTATTGCCCGATACCGCGTTGCGACACCATGATCAATGTGTCTCAAGGTTCTCCGAGTCAATGGCCGATACTGCGACCTTAAACCAGGTCGGTGCATCCAAGAAATCTCATATATGACATAGGCGAAGAGGCAATCATTCCCGCCGCACAATCCACTGCCAGTGAGATCCGATCGGACAATGAAACCACACCTCACCTATTATCGCAATAGGTCCAGTGATTTCTTGATTCAAAGTATCGGCCGATGTCGATGTGATTCGGTCGAGTCGTATCTGACTCAGTACCTTCCAAGATGATATCATTACACGATACATATAAACCCCGAGTTTCGCACGATTCGGCCGAGTTGGTCGAGTTGTATTGTATTCGAGTCAATCTCGAATTGTCGAGTTATCATAACCGAACCGGCCGATACGATTCCGCGACACAGCAGCATGATCTGAATATTTTCTTTAAGGTAATATCGTTCGATACAGTGCCCTGATGCCGTGACCAATGTGTCTCAGAACTTTCGATTCGATTGCCAATACCGCAACCTTGAACCTATGGTTCAAGGTCGCGCTATCGGTCATCGACTCGGAGAGATCTGAGACACATCAGTCGTGGCGTCGCGGTGTGGTATCAAGTGATACGACCTCCAACAAAATATTGAACATGACGAGAGATTCAGGTTATACTGCGGTGCCACAGAATTGTATTGGCTTATTCGGTGATAGTAACTCGGCAACTTGAGATTGACTCAGATACAATTCAGCTAATTCGGTCGAGTCGTACGAAACTCGGGGTTTATATGTACCGTATACCAGTATCGTCTCAAAAGGTATCGAGTCAGATATGACTCGGCCAACTCGTACCGGTATCGACCGATACTTTAAACCATGCTTGAACCATGGCCCATGGGTGATTTTAGTTGGAAACCCAATTGGTACAAGGGAAAAAAACAACTTGATAGTTAACACAAGAAAAATAAAATTACGCACAAAGTTGGTGATGCCATCGGATACTGTCTCGACAACAAAGTGGGAATTGTCTAATTTTGACCAATTCTTGAGCAGACCCTTGCATAGTGTTCTGCCAAAAGAAATTCAAAGAAAATTGTTGAGAGGACGAGAAAAGTCATAGCAAGATTCAAAAATGTCAGAACCTAACATTAACAGGAACAAAAATGACACGAAATGGCTTCTTGCCTTCCGTATCCAATCGGTGAATCTATAAAATCCACGTGGATCTTGGAAGCTTTTGTGTGGATAAAAAGAATGGACAGATGAAAAATGCAGAGCCCTAGAAGAATAAAAGAATTGGATGCTATTTTAGATGCTTGTCAAGGTTTGAAGTATCGGCCGAGTTAGATACGACTTGGTTGAGTTGTATCCACCTTGGTCATTATCGCGCTGATACTGCTACACGATACGCAAATAACATGAAACTCAAGCGAACCGGCGTTGACTTGGTCACGACTTGGAGATATTGGTTTAAATCGGTGGCGAATCGTTTCAATTGAATCGAGTCAGACGGAGTCATCAATAAATCAATGTAAAAAACCAGAAAAAAAAAGGTTAGAAGAAGAAGACCAATTCCACATGTAGATTCCCAGACCTAAAGATGTAGAAACTAAAGTAGTAGAAATAAAAAAATCCTAAAATAGAAATTGAAAGGATTTGGAGAACAACCTCTAGATCATGTACAGTTTACAGTAAATCTCAGTTTGTGCCAAAGTTGACCCTTGTAGCATGTTGGAGGTGTTTTTGGTCTCTCCTTATTTGGTATTTTGTTTCACAAACATCAACTTAAAAAGAAACTATTTGTTTATTTCTCCTCATTTTGAAGTAAGATCAATTTTCACGGGGTGACTTCATTTGGGGTTGTTCCATGCTCTTACCCATGACAACCTGTGTAGGGAACCACATATATAACAGAGGTCATATTTCTGAGGATTCACTGTTCATGCTTACGTTGTTACTGCCTAAAGTTTCAGGATTAGTTTGAAATCTGTGATAGCCTAATGCATTACTGTGCTTTCAATCAAATCTTGTTTGCTTCCCATGCTTTCGCACCCGTGTTTGTGGTGACCTAGATAGTTGCCTTCACTTTTGGCATGCCTTAATATCATTGTTATTTTACACTCATTGGTTTACAATCAAAAAAGAAAGGAATGAAGTTTTCGGTGAATGAAAAATGAATGAAGTTGATGATAAAATTTTTGCAATTTTATTGCATCTTTAAATGGCACTTATTGCATGCACTAATTAAGGCTAGTAACTTCGTTTTTCGCAATATTTTATGGGGTGCTTTCAACATAAATCAGTTTTTTCAACGAAAAATGGATTGTGATATATTTGGAATGTATTTTGTAAGTAGACTAGATATTGTGTAGCTAGGCTTCGTTGATGTAGGGCCTACTTTTTTTATTTTTATAATCTCTTGCAGGTAAATGGTTGTACTGGCAAAATGGGCAAGGCAGTAGTTGAAGCAGCTGTCTCTGCAGGAATTCATATTGTTCCAGTATCATTTGGTGGTCTAAAAAACGCTGGAAATACTGTGCAAGTGGGTGGAAAAGATATTCAAATGTATGGTCCCTATGAAAGAGAACGCATTCTAGCATCTACCTTAAATGATTATCCAAATTTGATTGTGGTGGATTACACAGTGCCTGCTGCAGTCAATGGTAAACATCTGTCAAACTTTTTGGGGAAAAGGGTAATGAAACTTAGATCTCAAATAAATAATGGTCTAAAGCAAGAAGAAATATCTTGAATATTTAGAAGAGAGGCACTTTTGTTGTCATTTGACTTGCTTTAAGCTATTTATCAACTAAGAAATTGCTACACAAAAAAAAGGGGGGGGCATTACACAATCTGATCTGAGGGATGGGTGTACTGGTGGCGATGTGGAAAAGTTCCATAATCTTGTAAATATGAAAAGTTGTTCAGTTTTTCTTGTACTTTTGGGTTCCACCCTTTTGGACTTGCTCGAATTGCTTATGCACCATTTCTTTGACCTTTCTTTTATTGATAAATTTGGTTTGTTATCCAAAAGGGAAAAAATACACTTTATGGAAATTGACAGGATAGGTCATGAGGATTAATATGCTTTCATGCTTTGATTATTTGCCTCAAGTTGTCCAGATTTCTCTATCTGAATCCAAGAAGAAAAAACAGATTTCCGAAGCTATTTTTGTCTTACCTTGTATAAAATTTTTTTTGTAATGTTCAATACTTAATAGTTTAATCGGAATATAAATTGAGAGCCTAATGTACATATGTTGGAAATCTATGGATTATCTCCAATATATAGATATATATTTTGTTGCCTTTCAAATAGTATACTTATGCAATAATTCTTATGTATTATTCAGTATGTAGTATTTACCATGATTTTATGTGAACATAACTGTTTCTATACAATTGTGAAGTGAGAAAATTACCCATTACTTTTTTAATGATGCACATATGTTTACTGTTAAAAATATCCTTAAACCTTACCTTTTAGATTGTGTGGGATTGAGACTAAGTGCATATTTTAGTAGGAACATAGTGCAAAAGACAATGCAGAACTTTACTTGTTACAGGCAAAGGAAGGTGCTAGTTTTTTTCCCAAATGACATATTTACCCCTTTGATATCTACATGATATATTGGCGTGTTACTTTGTGGATTATTCATTTTTTATTGTGCAATATTTCTTTCTTTGAGGTCTCTAACCTCGAGATGTCCTTACAATGTAGATTTTAGCTTAATAAAAAATAATGGACTTTATAATCGATCTAAGATATTCGCATAGTAGTTGTTGGATTTGCATATAGAAAGCAAATTTTCCCCTAATATATCCAACCATTTACATAGACTTCTTAGTGGGGACTGATTGGGTGATGATACTGTTGAATAGTTTGCACTTGAGCCAATTTGAAAATCTTCTTGTGAACTTGAAAACTGAGTTCTACATTCCAATGAGCTACTTAGAATCTATGTATTGAAGTTTTTGTTGCCATACTATATACACAGATAATGTTGAATTATATTGCAAAATTGGCGTTCCTTTTGTAATGGGAACTACTGGTGGAGATAGAAATCGGCTTTATAAGACAGTGGAAAGCTCAAAGGTTTATGCCGTGATCTCTCCCCAAATGGGAAAACAGGTTATCAAAGCTTAGTACTTGTATATTGGTTGCATTATCTCTGTGATGCTATTATTTTGTATTTGATATTTTAGCGAAACCATGTTTCACTGGGTTTCATTTAGCTAGTGGCATTTCTTGCAACCATGGAAAATATGGCGGAAAATTTTCCTGGAGTTTTCTCTGGTTACACGCTACAGGTACTTCCGCTTTCTGCTTCCTCTTGATTCGGGCGTCAAATGTTCATGGTCACTTTCTTGATTTTATTGTTTTTAAGTGAACCTAGAGAGCATAATCTTATTTTGGAGATCCTTAATCTTATGGTTAATCCTTAACCTTAATATGTCAGTCTGAGCCGAAAAGAAAAACTTAAAGATGTAAGAAGGTACAACCAAGAGATTTACATGGCTTGAAATCAAGGGTTATATGATATTTTGTAATATTTCTTAATAATATTGTGTTAGTTTGAATATTACAAAATAAAATGGGAAAAGATTATAAAGTATCAGTGTGTCAACATATTGAGCCAATCCTTTGAGCCAACCCACTACCAATTTTTGTCTCTGAAATACATTTGACTACCATGCAGATCATCCACCACTGCCTTCTCCAGTCACCATAAACCTCCCTAACCCAGAAGCCTAAACTATGTAGAAAATTTTCTAATTTAGATGCTAGCTTCAATTCACCCCTCCTCCCTATGATCACTCTATCAAGAACCCTTCAAGAACACAAGATTCAAGAACACACCACCACCACAACACACTCTCTCTGAAAATTATGACCCCTACTACAGAAAAATGAGTGAATTCAATACCTGGAACCATGAACATCTCTGATTTTTAGATATGGAACAATACTTACCTTTGGCAATGGTGAATCCAATGACTTGGCCGTGGTAAGAGCTTCTTGGCCTCTTGTGGGACCTGTTTTTGTTCCTGTGAGACCTGTTTTTGTTAATCAATGTGTCTCGTGCCCTTGATTCTGTTTCCAGTGAACAGACTAACTGTCATTTGGAGGGCTCTAGCTTGGTTCTGGGAGGTGGTTATGGGAGATTGAAGGGTTTTGGGTGAGGGAGGGGTTCCTAATTGGGGAAAGAGTTTTGGGGAGTCATGGGATCGTGGGGATTGTTTGGCAACAAGTTTACGAATGTTTGACACCATGGTTTTTGTTTTGTCTTGGAACACGTTTAGGTTTGTTTGGCAAACTAAGCTGGAAGAATTTTGGTTTTTTTGATCTAAACTAGCCCATGGCTCGGTCATGTGTGGGGCCTGTGAAGGCTTTTGGTAACAAAATTTTATCCAAATTGAGTGGAAGGACTTGATTGAAAAACATGGAAAACTTGGAGGATTTGATTGTTGCAATTGAAAAAAAAAACTTCAAAAAATTTCCATTTAATTGTTTGTGATTAGTTATAATTAGATTAAAGACCGAATATTTAGCAATTATATAGGCTATTTATCATTTGAGATATGTTACTGCCACCATCTGTTGGCCTGAGTTAGGCCAAGATAGGTATGGTTATATGTGGAGTGTTGTATTTGAGCATTAATTATGTTTCTTTCATTCTCAACTTGGTGTACTTAATTCATTGGCTTGATATTCTTATCCTTCTTACTCATTCTATACACCTATGCATCCTTTCTTTCCAATTAGTTACTTACTGGCTTGAAGCTCTGGTATTTTAGCTTGCTCATTCTTCATGTTGTCTAAAACATATTAAACGCATTAGGTTAAGGATGACTTTTCTTTTTTCCTGATATTTTGCTGATATGTCATAGTGAAATTTGATGTTTTACTAAGGTGATGGAGTCACATCAAGCTGGCAAACTGGACACATCTGGAACTGCCAAGGTTGTCATTTCATACTTTCAGAAATTGGGGGTCTCGTTTGAAGTAGATCAGGTGTGTTTGGGACATGATAGTACATAGTAGTATCGGATTTTCTCTTCATTTCTCAAGAATGATTAATGAATCATCGATGAAATACTTAATATTTATTTGGGTAAATGGATTTTGACGCTGTTTATATGCTTGGAAGGCTTCGGTTTGTCAATATTTGTCGAAATATCCTAATAATAATTTGGGTAAATATCAATGACATCTTTCGTACATTGATATAATTACAGTGACGACCCCTTGATTTTTGAAAATAAACCGACATTCCCTTGTCAGAAATTGTCAGACAATGCAGAAAATGGGCAATGTCTTTCTACAAATTTGTCCCTAATGGAAAGTGACATTTTACATTTCTATTCTCCATTTAAAATTTTTGTTGTGTGTGTGTATTTCGTCGGTCAATGTCTCCTCTCTCTTGGGCAAAATTTCAGCCCAACCCACCACCGCTGATACACCTGTAAACACATGCACAGGTTTAGTGTTGTCTCGAAGAGAGAAAGACGATGATTTCCAAGCATTGAGTTCTTGCAGTGTTGATGAATCTGTGACAAGCTCCACTTGCAACAAGCCCCCAAACTCTATCTCTACTCTCACAAACTATATGTCATATAAAAGCAGAAGCAACAAAATTGAAGAATGATTGTGTTGGGGCCATGTGCGATGGTGATGGGTGGGACTGTGATGGTGACCGGTGGTGGGAGGTATTACTGAGTTCTCTGTATGTAGGTTGGGGGAACTTGGGTTCTGCCTGGGAGGGGAAGGCTCGAGCTATAGGCGTCCGGGGATGAGGTTTGGGGGGGGGGGGGGTTGTGTGTGTCTCTGGTCTTGCTCAGTTGTCTGGGGTGCTGGTGTTTGCGATTATGTACAGCTGAATTGCAGGCAATTGGGCGCAATTGAAGCTTTGTTGAAGGTTGTGGTTTTACTTGGATGAACTGATCCTTTTTACTTGAGAAAAAGGCTGGGCGATGTGTTTGCTAACTGTTCTGTTCTGGATGTTGCAAGTGTGGGTGCCATCATACAGTCGGTATTCAGCTACCCTGTTACTAGACACAACACTTGCCTTCTTCATTTGATTTGTTTCCAAGAAACATTTTTCTGTGACAAATCCAAAAATTCATTCCTCCTGTAAAATTGAAACAAAACATTAAGCAACCAGAAACTTGAAGAAAATACCAATTGACATTACATAAGTCCCAAATATCAATCCTAGACAATTCACTGCAGGTGATGAATCTATGGTGGAGTCCCTTCTTACATGCTGCATGGGCTTTTCAGGCCAATCTCATCTATTTAAGGCCTTTAGAACCGTCTCTCTCAGCCAATGCTGTGCTGGTTCTTCTGCTTCTTGCTCTGAGTCTATTCTACACTCCTTATCTTCCAATCTCAAGTCACTTCCACAGGTTGAACAATGTCATGCCCACATCATCTCTTTGGGTCATGATTAACACCCTATTGGTTTTCCAAACCAGTCACCTTCTACTCATCCCTCAATTTCCTTGCTGATGCCCATGTTGGAACTAATGCTCAAATATATTGCAGTCTTTAGAAATGGGCTTCATATGGAGACTCTCTCAGCGTCTAAACATATGGTAAGGGGACTCGACCTAATAACTTAACCTTACTGTCTGCATTTGAAGCTTTGGTCAAGCATTGAATCAAGATTTTGGTGGATTCATAAATATATTGATGGAAACTATCTTGAGTGGTGCTTGTTTGTGCAAAATGCACTGGTTTCTATAAATGGGAAGTGTGGTATCTGTGGGAAACGAGTTTCTTTTTAGCTTCTTTCTGGGCCTTAGTTACTTAGGAGTTTCAAGGAACTCCTCTATTTTGTTTTTTTGCAATGTGGAATGCTTCCTGCGATTTTTAGTTTGGTTTCCATGACTTTTGATTTATTATGCTTTGGTTGTACAGCTTGTCCACTTTTATTGTATCCTTTTTTCTTGATTATTCACCAATAAATTTCTTGTTCCTTATCCAGAGAAAAAAATTGCACCCCTTTGGTTATACCATAACTATTTAGGGACTATGGGTCTCGTTATGGGTTTATGAGATAGTTTAGCATGATAGGTGTGTTATGGCATACTTTGTTGTGAGTAGTGTTCATTGCTTCTAGACCTTAAAGCAAGCTATAGGATCCTAGTAACTCATGTAATGTAAGTTTTTTTGCTGGTACTCGTGTAATGTAAATTGGCATGTACAGACTTATCCTTTTGGGTGGGCTAAAACCATTTTGTTGCCTCTTTCCTTCCTCTTTGCATAAGCTGTATGGCAAAAATCAAATCAGAACTGTTAGGTATGTTCCTTTATCCTTTATTTAACATTTCATCAGGTAAAAAAAATACGAGATCCCAAGCAACAAATTGAGATGGTTGGTGTCCCGAAAGAGTTCCTATCCGGTCATGCATTCCACATGTATCACCTGGAGTCACCTGATAAAACGTAATTTACGAACCATTGCTTTTGTGCTTCTCTGTTTGTCTTCCTAGTAAGCATCACTAACTATGTTAGAGGTGTTTCCTTTGTTCAGAGTTTCTTTTGAGTTTCAGCATAATGTCGGTGGTAGATCAATCTATGCGGAGGGTACAGTTGATGCTGCAATTTTCCTTGCTAAGAAGGTGATAATGCTTGCTTCCTCAAAATGCACCGCTCGAGTAATAGTTGTTCACATAATTTATCCATTATTTTGGTTACAACTTTTATATACTCATCTTTTTGCCCTTTGCAACGTTACATTTGTCAACTATAATCCACCAAATATCAATGGTATATAATAGCCTTTTGGCTACCAATTAAGAGTATTAAAGAAAATATAACAAAACATGTATAAAAACTGCTGTTATTATCAAATGCTCCGAGTTTCTCTCGCTGTTAAGTTAATTTCTGTTACTAGACTGAATTTGGAAATGTTGTGTGAACTCAGGTTCAATCAAAGGCGGACAAATTCATCTACAACATGATAGATGTTTTGCGGGAGGGCGCCATGAGATGAAAGTGGTGTTCAACCTGCTTTGGAGACATAATAGTTTATGTGAGCAGTAGTCAAAAGGCAACTTCAGATTGATTTCTGTAGGATGCACTCTTTCTTTTTCGTTATTAACAACTTCGGATTGCTTGCTCATATTTGCATATTTGCTTGGTCAAAACTCGGGAAAGTTTTCTCTGAAACAAATAGATTGCTTGTGCTCATTAGCTTTTACATCCAAGTCCATAAAATTTATGTTTCTTGCTCTTAAAGTATGCTTGAAATTCATCGAGTTTATTTCCCTTGGGAGCACATTGATTAAAAATTGGCGCACAAAGGACATACTATGGTGCAGCAGAACTAAGCAAATGGTATGAAGTATGACATGCCTTTTATTTTCCGCTTGGTGGATCATCTACCATGTGGCAGTGAGGAACCCAATTATGTATAATGTGTTTAACTTGAAGCCACTCAAAGTTTAATTATAAGTTAGATCCCTCAAAGTTTAAATATTTAACATTTATGTTCTAAAATATTTTTAACACTATTTTTATGTTGAGTCAGTTGTGTTGTGACATATGTTTTACATATTGAAAATTTATATAATACTATTTAATATTTTATAAAAATTTAAAAATATCTATTTTTTGTCTATAATACTCGTTAAATAATTATTTTTTGTATATAGTTGTGTTATTAATATCTAACTTTAATTGATCAGACAATCAAAAGGTTTGTATCTAACTGTAGACAAAAACTAGGTATTTAACTAATGTTAGCTAAAAATAGGTATTTTATAAAAAAATTTTAAAATTTTAAAAAATATTTTTTTATTGATTTGAACACGATACTAATGTGTTATGAAACTACGTAATTAAGAGTTATTTAATGAACATTAATGGATGAAATATTTTTTGAATTATAAAAATGAAATATTTAAACTTTGAGGGGTATAATTTATAATTAATCCAAAATTTTTTAACGGTAAAATGAATGGAGTTAGCTCCAAGTGCACATTAATATGAATTTATGTCTTTCAGAGTGTAAATTGATATTTTTAAACTTTGAAAGTACAAATTAAAATTTGAGTGATCTTTCAAGGTGCAAGTTAAGATTAATCAAAGATTCTAATAATAATTATGGTAAAAGGAAAAACTTTGTGTTACGATTGACAACGATTTGGACAAAATTTTTTCTTTTAAATTTTTGATCCGAATGTGGTCCAAAATCTTTGCTCAATAAGTATCACCACATCAGTTTTACATCGTTCACTCTTATTTTTTGACCCCCAAAATTGGTCATCTATAATTACCATTTTAAGATGAAATTGGCTTAAATTTGATTTTGATATCATTGAAATCTAAATCTAATCAATCCTAACTCATTCTTATAAGTACGATTCAATTGTTAACGAGGCTCACTCCATAAAAGAAATCACCTTGTCTGCCTAGTGAAATAAATGGGGTAAATTACACTTTATCTTTTATTTTATTTTACACCCTCAACTATTATATTTTTCACATTACACTTTAAAATATCAATTTTATTTTATATCACTCAAATAGAAGGAATGTCAATTTTTTTTATTGTAAATACGTATGTGAGTGGTTTATATTACTAATAACCAACTGTCTATTGCACAAGTGTAGATCAAAAATCAAGAAAAATACCTATCCTTGATTTTGCCCTTCCTAAACTCCAAATTTTCTTCATCTGACCGACCTTCTTTTTGTTCTCAGTAATTATTTAGTTGCAAAAGAGGTAAAATAAAGTGGCACTAGGTGATGATGCACAAAATGCATTTATGCACCACCTATCAACTATTTAATGTAGTTATTAAGAAAGACACTCAACACAAACAAACACAAATTAAATGGTTCAGTTAGAGTGACCTACTCTACTGTGAAGGGCTACGGTGTCCTGAGTATTTTATTACTTAAGGAGTGTATAGTGCTCAAATATGAATGATGTACCCCATGTGTAAGCGGGATTTACAATTTATAAGCAAGTAAAGTTGTCTCCTGATTTTGATTAATGCATCGTTCTCGTAACTGATTTTGTGAAGCTCACTTTATTCTCGTAATGGACGAAGTGATAGCATTTTGTCTTCACGGATTCCCTCTCATTGGATGAAGATTCCCACGTGCTCTGATAATGGGTTAAGTCTTTTAGGAAGGTGGACTTGGTTCAACTAAAATTGTGACGGAGCTTTTATTGGTCTGCATCTGTGATATGGCTCTACTCTAGGCCGGGTCTATCGCTAGACATTTGGTGGGAAATCTTTGGAGTTTCCCTCATTCTTTTGACAAATTTTTAAGTTTATCGTTATTTATTCAACTGATATAATATAAAATTGATATTTTAAGATGTAATATGAAAAAATTTATAATTGAAAGTACAAAGTAAAATAAATATAATAGTTCAGGGGGTAAAATATAATTTACTCAAATAAATGTGCCATGCTTTAATATATTTTAAAATTTATCAAATTATTGAGCTTAATTTGTAAAGAGGAAATCTATTATTGGCAAAGGAAAATGTTATTTTGATCTAATTTGAAGACTTAATTCAAAGTTTCAGTATTAGATGGAGTCCACTACTAATTCAATAGTTGTATTGAATTGAATTCTTAAATTAAGTCTGCAAATTAGGTCCAAATAACTTTGTTAAAACAATAGAAATCCCGAGTGGTTTTTATAGGAATTCTCTTTACGTTATGGTTGTCAATATATAAGACTAATTTGGTAGATGTATTATGAGGGAATTAATTATTAGATTGTATTATTTTTTATTTAATCATGTCTAATACTTTGTTTAGTAAACAAATGTGATACCGTATTAATCTCCTAGTCATAAACCCTGCCTGAAGGTATGATAGAACAAAAAAATTCGAGTTCTAAAAAATCGATATCCCCATATTAAATATTAAATTTTCTTTCCTTCATTTATTTGATTAAAGCATTCAAAATTTATTTTTATCCATTATTTTCTTAAAGATATTGACAAAATTTTCTCAAAATATATAATTAGATAAATTATTTTAACAGATCTATACTATCGTGTATGTATAATATCTGAAATAAAAATTATGTTAAATTATAAGTTAATCAAATATTAAATGATTGAACATGTGATATAAATGAGTGATGTGATGGTTATGGAGAGGGAAATGTATAGGGATAAAATTCAACTTCCTATCTATATAATAAAATAAAACGAATTTGAATTTTGGAGACAAAAAATAGTCTAGATCGTTTCGTGACAAAAAAAAACATAATCTAACGGACGACGTTATCCCAAACTGTCTCGAGCTATTGACGTCTCAGATCATTTTGATTCGACGTACCACATTAACTCTTTTAAAATATTTTTGCTGCTCAAAATTTATAGTTTCCAAAATTGAAATTCCAAAATTTAATTCTCTCAAATCTTTTCCTTAAATCAAACAAATCTTTCTCTTTCTCTCTCTCTCTCTCTCTCTCTCTCTCTCTCTCTCTCTCATTCTACAATATTTTTCTCTGTATCTCATCAAAATATCACGAAATTATTAGATAGTGTCTGATTCAAATAAATACTACATTTTTTTTTAGATAGATAGTATATATCACAGAGAGAGATAGTATATTACGAAAATATTCCTCTGTATCTCTCCCTGAAGGAAAATTATTTAATAAATATTAGATATATAGTATATATCACGAAAATATTTCTCTGTATTTCTTTCTTTCATTCAAGTAATACTACAAACACGAATCATACAAATTCAATAGTCAATTTTATTTTTTCCATAATCAATAAAAAAATATAACTTGCAAAAAATCTATTTAACAAAGAAAATATGCTTAACATGTAAAATATACAAGATTAAATTCAAGTTATTGGTCAACTTAGATATCAAGAGATATATTAAATAAAATATGCTTAACATTTAAAATATAAAAGAATAAATTCATGTACAAATATGAATCATACAAATTTAATATTTAGTGAGCAACACAAATGAATAATATTTACTAAATAATCCAAATCTAAATACCCTAGAAAAATGATACAAAATTACAAGCAAGAGAAATGATATAAAATTATAAGCAATACTATGAACACGAATCATACAAATTCAATATTCAGTAAACAACACGAAACAACAATCTTTACTAAATAACGTTTAGTTTAAGAAAATATACTAAGAACATAAATAATCGATAAAAATGATATAAAATTAAAAGCACTATTATAAACTAGGATTATACAAATTCAATAGTCAATTTTATTTTTTTCATAATCAATAAAAAAAGCATAACTTGCAAAAAATCTAATTTAACAAAGAAAATATGATTAACGTGTAAAATATATAAGATTAAATTTAAATTATTTGGTAACTCAAATATCAAGAAATTTATTAAAGAAAATATGTTTAACATTTAAATTATACAAGATTAAATTTATATACAAACACGAATCATACAAATTCAATATTCAGTTAACAACGCAAATCAACAATATTTATTAAATAATCCAAATTTAAATACCTGAGAAAAATAATACAAAATTACAAGTAAGATAAACGATACAAAATTATAAATAATAATATGAACATGAATCATACAAATTCAATATTTAGCAAACAACATGAAGCAACAATTTTTACTAAACAATCCAATACTAAATAACGTTTAGTTTAACAAAATATACTAAGAATATAAATAACCGGGAAGAATGATATAGAATTAAAAATACTACTATAAATTCGAATCATACAAATTCAATAGTTAGGTTGTATTTTTTGGAAGTCGGTTGAATTTCTGATAGTTATATTTGGTCATTTGACCACATTTGTAGACTTAGTTTATTTGTAGAAGTATTGTTTTAATTTTCGTTCTATTAATTATGAATTCTGTTATTATTTAGATAAAGTTGATTATGAATATTAAAAGCATATATTTTGAATCAAAAACAGGTCATTGAATATTGTAAATTGATATAATTTTTTAGAAGTTTGAATTATTATGTTTCAGTAGTTATAACATAATTTTTGTGTTGTGACAATTTAATGTTAAAATATATGTTATGCATGTAAGTTGATGATGTTATAAAAAATATTAGCAGACTCATTTTATTCGTCGTTTATTATAATATTGTATTTTATTTTATATTTATGTATTAAAAAATATTTTTAACTAATTTACCAATAACACTGTGCTTAAGACATGGACAATTGCTAGTGTGTTTTTATTATATAGA